CAAGAACCTGCACCACTCTTGGAAATGTCCGAGCCTGTATAGCGTTCGACAACACCAACACCATGAGGTGTAGGTAGCTAAATTTTATGGGAGACCTCGCCATAATCCCCAAACCTCAGTTTCTCATTCGAACTTCAGACTGTGACAATGTTCTACCATTTCTTTCCGCCATATTTAAATAACTCCGAAAGGTCTAATCAATAGAACAGACTCTTTTCACCTTAAAGCATAACTAAGTTTTATAGATTTTTAGGTTTGTAGGTGGATACATGAACATTTTTTGGTGTTTGTAGAGTGGGAATAGGGTAATCTGGTGAGAGCTGCTGGAAATGATCTTTTAAAACGCATTTTCTTATCCGCTGTTTGGACATCCATACGGTTTTGCATAAGGAGGATTGAGTATTTTTCTTTCTGTTTCCGTATGTTCACTATATAACCTTAAGCATTTTTTGCGGACCGCTTCCCAATCCATCTAATCATTTTTTCGCCATCGTTTGGTCTGCATCTCTTCTTCATATAGGCTCTCGTCAACTTGGCTGAATTTCTCTAAACTTTCATTCCCTTGTCAATAATACATTCCACAAATTCGCGTTAGAAATACCTTTGAGATGTTTGTATTTAAGCTTGAAAGACCAGTGGAGTGTTACCTTCTACTTAAGCTGTTTGTTACCGCGTCATCGAAATTCAGCAGAAGGCGAGAGAAGCAGAAACGATGGGGAGAGAGGAGGTTGTAACCGCTGAGATAAATCCGTCCTATTATATCCAACAGCCTTTTTTACAGAGCGCTCACGCAGTAATGACGAGCTGGATTTCGAAGTCGTCAAAATCATGACTGTCCCGCTGTAGCTTCCTACTTCCTTCCTCTATGGTGGTGTTCTGTTGTCAACTTCGAAATGACGATCACAAACAAGCGATGTGGTTATGATCTGAACTGACAATTAATCGGTTGTAAGACCAGTGCTCTAGCGACTGAGTTACCCATGCGGTATGGGAGAAAAGATGTACGAAAGATTATAAACGCTGAGGTGCCGGCCACTCACAATGTTCTTTCATGGTGATACAGTGGAGTACTGTTCCTGTTGTGGTGCCAGCAGCTAAAAATCCGATGCCTATGCAGGTACCTTCTAAAACGATGTGTCAAATACATCATGTAGCTTCCACTTTCGTTTCAATGAAATAGTGCATATTTATCTTCTTCGGAAGGTTTAAATATAAATGACCATGTCAGTCTTCGAAAATACGAATTTATCAAACGATTTTACGAATGCGAGTATGGGGCAC